AGCAACTCTAAATAGCCAGTACTAAATTAACATGAAACATTTATTCACAAAATTACTGTCGTAGAAAATCCAATTCGTTCAGAAATACTTCATTGAGATCAAGTACTATTGTGGGAACTTGGTGGAAATCGTTCAAGCAAGGTACAGTTTATATCATGAACTAATTTAAAATAGATAACTGGTGAGAATTAATCAGAAATGAATAAGCATGTCACTTAAGTTTGAGACTCCTCAGAAATTCTTATCAAGTGCTCTCATATTGGTTAACACAGGATCTTTAGATATTCCGGCTAACCTATCGACTTTAAACTACTGAGTTGGTATTTAATGGTCGATATTTTCGACTTTATTGAACTCGTGATTTTATACTACCGCCATTCAGCGTCTTTCATGATGTTCGTCTCATTTCAACATAGATTAATTCTACTAGCCACAGTTTTTCATTGGAACTATGGTAATTCTTTGAAAATTTGTCTCCAGTGAACATTCCAAACCAAAAACAAAATAGTTGTGAGATGCTCTCTGGTTTTCATTGGTTGTCTAGTTGAAGTATTCCTTGATGTGAAAAACAGTTCAGTGCTGGTTATTACAATCAGTAAATAAGCTACAATACTCGCAGTTCAAATAGACAAGTTTATTTTGGTGCATTATATGGTCCTTATATTTGAATCTCATGCATTCTGTTTCAACATATCAGTGAGAAGCATTTTCAAAAGAATTGAATTAATCGTTTTCAGTCTCATTACATTTCCACTTCTAATCTTATGTTGTATTCATTTCTATCAATAAACTAACCACTTATATTAAACACATAACCTAGTGACAGTATGCAATATATATAAAGTACTGTTTTTGACACCCACCTTATATGACATTCAAAATCATGAATTTTACAGGTCTTCTTAGTCTATATATTCTACTAATTAACCAAAAACTCATCATATATACGACAATTACACAGCATGACACTTTTAATGTACTGAATTAACAGGGATTCAGAAAATTTCAAATGTGATTTGTTTATTTAATAAGAACTGATACATGGATATCAATACATAACCATGACTAATGACCACACACAATACACTTGTTTTGCTTCTTTAAATTATTTAAAGAAAATAGGACATTGAAGAACTGATACGTTAAGTTAATTTAAACAAAAGTCTACAATCCCAATAAATTTTGATAATTCCATATTCTATCTGATTTTCATACTTTTTCAAAGTTGTTTTTTCAGCAATTTAAATAATAAAGAAGAGAATATGTACTAAAATTGTTTATATTATGATGAATAATTAAGAAACATAAGTTAACTGAACTTTCAAACTAAGTGTAATTGATAAAAACAAGTTATGTGTCAGTCGTTTCATTCATCGTCAACATCTCAATCTATAAGAGTGTATACAGAATATTTACATAAACAATATTTGACAGGAAATATACTTGTTTACATAAGTTTGTATATGTCCCTGTTAAAATCTCGTCAATTTCATGATTTTGTAGACTATTTAAAAACAATGTGATATTTTGTCTAAAAATCATTTTAAATTTTAAGACAGAGTCTATTTCCGTGTGGAAACATTGTTAGATTTTAAGAAGTAGAGCATAAATAATTCAGTCACTGAAAATTCTAACCACAACTGCTAAGGTTTATAGACATTTTGTGTTTACGCCACTCAAAATGAAATTGTTATCAGTTAGTACTCTGTTCAAATAGATAAGATACATTTACTGAAACGCTAGATAAAATTGCTTTATTAATAAGAGATAGTAAAATCCTAGTGATATTACGCTATCTATTCAAGTATGATATCTTCATATGCCAAGGATTAATAAATCCAACAGTAAATGATAACAAAAGTCATATTTAAAAGAGCAAGAACAAAGATTCAAGCTTAATAGCAGGAATTCATTTTCATTTCGTAGGTTCTCGTTAGCTGCTTACATAATGGGTTTAAATTACTAACATGAAAGAGTTTGGTTGGAAGTTATATTGAAGACATATTCGTATAGTATAGCTACGAAATGAAAATGAATTCATGCTATTCTGATAGAATCCTTGTTCGTGCTCATTTCAAAATGATCAAGGGAACTATGTGTGTGAAAATCATATTGTTTAACTCCCAATAATAACAGTGAGACCTTGAATGTGATCAAAGTAACTTAATTTATTGATTCATAGCATTTGCTCCTACAAATAGTAATTAGAAATTTCTTTATCAGGAAACTGCTACTCATTCCAAAAATCGTTTGTCAACTAACTGACTGATTCCTATTTACTGATAAATTTAATCCGAAACATAACTTCAGTGAGTAATAGGATTAAGGTAAGAGATTAAACATTATAATTTAGAAAAAATTAACCATTTGTTCTGGTTTTTTATAGACTAGTTAATGTAAATTTACCTTGAATGTACATCAATCTCAATAAAGGATTGTACACACTCTTAAGAATTACATGATCGAGACACTTCAAAAGTGAAACTCTTCTATGAATAAACAAAACAGTGCGATATTTCATAAATTCAGTTATCAGTGGGGAATGATAACCTTTTTTAAGGTTCATGATTCAAAATCAAAAACATTAAGCGATAATCACACCGCAATCTTGAAGCGACCATTGTTAGAACAATCTATACGATAAATTTCAAATTTAAAGTTGAATTACTGGCAATTCGTAAGTAGCTCATGTTTTTTTGACAAATTTTGAGATATTAACCGCTTAAAGGTGAGAATAGTGAATATACTGACGCATCCTTTATCAACCAATTAAAGTTCATCAATGAATGTAGTGGACGTTTTTCAAAAAACGTTTACGCAAACATATATATATATATATATATATATATATATATATATATATATAGTGAGTATATTTGATTTTAGACTACATACAATTAGTAATAGTCAGTGATTCCGAGAAGATACTTGATATTCTTCTTGTCTATTCATCGTGACATATAAAACACGACTCGCTTGTTCAAAATGTCGATATACTTCAGAATTATTAAACTGTAAACTTTGATAGATTTCATGTAGACGTACAGAAATGTTTTGATTAATCTACATACAAAAAAACTGATTTCCATACACCTAAAAGTAAAATAATTTTTTACATAAGAATATTTTATTCCCAATAATGTTTAATAGAAAATAGTTGTCAATGTATTTTTATAACGGCTCTAACCAAAATTCAGAGAATATAAAAATAGAATACTTCTTATCAAAAACGTACTCAGAAAATAAACACAGATGTTCGTTTCTTAATTATTAGGTTAATTCAGTCATTCCACTACTCACTCTTCTCTAATCTACCTACTTATTTAACAGCACTAAAATATTTTCACTGGCATTTAACAGTTTTGCCAAGTTTCCATTTCCAAAATCATCCACCTGAACTACAAATCTGCACCATCTCAAAGGTTTCCATGCTACAGATAATAGTAAAGCTGAAACAGTTAAAGTCTACAAATCCAATGATAAAATTACCGATACAAAGGAAATACCTACTTTTAACTGTTGTGATCACAAACAATTTCCGCCATTTTTTGCAACATATTATAAATTAACAGCATCAAATAAAATAAACGGGACGTGTAACTATCGATGTGAACAGAGAAACAATAAGTCTTGACAAACTGCTGAAGCTGCTTTCAGTTAATTCGAAGCTTATGAAACATTAACATTTATTTTTGTCCCTAGTCTATTCTACAGATCATAAGCTTTCGTTTGATGTATGATTCACTGCCATAGCCTTTTTGCTCCAAAACTACTGTAATTTAAACGTGCTATTTTGTACTCTATTTTCTACCCTAATCCCCAGTTTTGAACCTAATTGTATTTCCCTAATTATTGTATGTTGGGGTCGGGTTGGTCATGTATCTTTTTTACAATGATCTGAAATCGTGAACCAGATTGGAATCGGGAATACATCGAGTAATTTTCCAGATGACTGGTCTTCTCGCACTCGCGTGCTTGTCAGCCAATCAGGTAACAGAATAGTTGTCTTCTCTCTACCCCACTTCGAACTCACGCATACTAGCCTCAAGGTTAAGCCAGTCCGTCTATCGCGTCAAGGTCTTAATCTAGGTTAGACAAGTAGCCTCAACACCAAATGTGGGCAGACAGATCAAGGACGTAACAACTATATACTTAAAGGTCATTTTCAACAAAAACCGATGTCAACTGTAGAACTAAGAACTAGTAGTGCTATCCAATATTTTCCGTTCAGTGTTTGACACTTTATTACTACTATTCATCAATGAGAATTCACTAGTTCCAATCGTATTGCGATACTTTCAAGGAATTTCATGTAAGAATTAAGCAGCTATCCTATGCTTCTTGATCTGAAATAATTGTCTTGCTGAAGTTAGTTGATCATATATACTACAAATAAATTTACATTCCCACTATCTCCCTCTAACTAGGTTATTTGTATTAACACATATCTAAATAAAATACTTATTGAATCAAGTATTTTAAGCGCCTATAAACAAATGAGCGACATAATTCGAAGTGCTTAAATGAATCAAAACAAACCAGTAGGTCCTGGGTTCGAATCTCGCAGGGGGCGAGGTCGTGGATGCGCACTGCTGAGGAATCCCACAATAGGACGGAACGGCCGTTCAGTGTTTCCAGGTATTCCATGATGGTCTACCTTCAACTAACTCATGATCTTAACCATTGAAAAAAAAGAATCTAAAAAGCATAAGTTTTGTTTCAATAAATACATAGTACAATCTTTTTTTAATTTAGAAAAGACTTGAAACATTCATCAGTAAAAAAAGAATACTGAAGAAAAAAATTATTATTCTAAGAAAAAATACAATATGGGAAGAAACAACATTAAATCATAATATCTCTCTTAAACGAAAATATCAGAAAAGTACAATAGTGAAACAAACAAAAAAATTAATAGAATTAACAATATTGATAATTGAAATCCATTGAACATTTAAAAAGCATACAATACATATTTATATCATTAATATATATATTTTTTAAGGGATTTTATGAAAATATTGATCTAAACTTCCAGAATTAGATTTAATTGATTTTTGATGTTTTTTTATTGATTTTGATTGTTTTAAATTAGATTTGATTTTAGTTGATTTTTGATTGGAAGATATTTTATTTATTAATGAATTATTTACTTGATTTGAATTAGTAGTATCATTAGATTTTGTTATTATTGTATTTGTTATTGGTGTATTTATATTAACTTCCTTATTTGACCATTCATGTTGTATACGTTGAGCTATATGAAAATCTTCATGTTCTGGTAATTGCCATATAGATATACGTGAATTACATTTATCACAAATAATCCAATCACCAATTGAATATGATTTGAAAAAATTAGACGAATCTGAAGTTGTTGATGTTGAATGACGTGATTCTGAGTCAACTTCTAAATAAGGTGAATCGTCTAATGTGGATGATTTATTCTGTTCTAATGATTGATGCAATTGTACATTGGTTGTTGTTGGTGGTGGTGGTGTTATTGAATTGGAAATGAGTTTTCCACTTTGATTTTCTACTAATAAAAAATTCCTATTCTCACTTGTATTATTATCATTAATAGTAGTATTATTATTAATATTGAGATTGTCAATCAATGGAGTTGGATGAAATGGAGCTGAGATTTCAGCGACTCTCAAGCGTTTAAAAAATGAAAGATTATTTGTGTTAATATTTACAGTAGAATCATTAGAATTACGTTTTCTATCAGGTGAAATGTTGACTATATCATTTTTAACATCATTATCAGAAGACAATTTAACTAAAGATGGTGATGTAGACTTTTCAGGTGGAATAGATACCATTGATTCTTGCTGAACAACAGTATCATATTTTATAGATTCTATTTGTTTTTTTTGTAATAAAGATCGAATATCAACATTTGAAGTAGAGGAATTAGATAAGAATTTTCCAGCTGAAAGACCTAAAGAATTTATACCAGGATCCCTAAACAGAAAAATAAATTTCATAATAACCAGTGTTAGTAAAAATTAATGACTACAATAAACTATTTCGTAAAAATATACTAGGAAGTTACCCAGTACATATAATCGACTTATGATGTGAATATTATGAGATTATCATTGGCAGTGAAATCCAGGATGCGTGCGTTCTCTTCCATCTGGGACGTATCAACTTAGTGTACCTACATCCCAGTGCTCTACACACTGAGACTCGAACCCAATACCTACCCTTTCAAAATACAAGGACATACACTGAGCAGATAGGTTACGATAACCACAAACTTATTCAACAGGTATAAAGGAGACTGGTTAACATAGTTATTCATACTGATGTACCATTATGACATTAAATCACACAGGTACTATTGACAAAAAAGTTTAAGACTGACAACCATATATAAGAACTCAATCGTATTCTGTTTAAAAACCAGAATACTAAAGCAATGTTTTTTAAAACCTCGAAATAGTGTCACTTGATCATTGGACTTCGAAGTAACTGTTAAGATGGTATGTTACTCAAATGATTCAAAGATCATTGAGAAGACTATATTTCAACCAAAAATAAGTCCCTCGTTTCATTTTAATCGTTTACTTCCTGCCTAGTTTAGCAGCTGGGGATAATGACTAAATACGAATGCTTATGATAAACATAAAGAAGTTAGTAATATTAATACGTTTTGAAATCTATGATAATAACCTAAATACATTAACCTATCACACATTAGGTTTATCAATTTGCTTTGACATGAACGAGATCAAAGGTATTCTACATGATTCATGCTCGTAATATATAATTTGAAAAACTTGGGTAACAGTTGAATAAACTAACAATAACTGTAAAATAATTAATTGTACCAAGTAGTCAATAAATACAGTACCACATTGAATATTATTTCCAAGAAATCAAATGTATGAATAGTTCATATTAGTCCAGCTGTAAATAGGAATCTGTTATTCTTGTTAAAATAAGATGTATGTCAGAACGAAGGTTGATAGCTTATACTAAGAAACTAATAAAAAAGCCTCCATGAAATAAAGGAAAATTAATAAAAAGTATTTTATTCCAATGATTGCTTCTATCTCATTGAAACATTCACAAACAATAACCAATGCAGATAGCAAATTAACTTAACGAAAACAGCAGTTTGATAGTAAAGAAAACTAGGATGTATGAATTAATAAGGAATCAAACCACAGCCTGGCACAAATTTACCATAATTCAATATCAGTCAGTCAGTCAGCAACAACGTAGACCCTCGTACGTACGTACATCAGTTCGAGTTGCCACACCACATTAGCACAGAGATGCAGTGGTCGATTCAAATCCCGTAGTGCTAGATGTAGTAAAATTATAATGTGTAATCAGAAAAATTAGGGTTTGAAGTTGTTATTCAAGGAGCATAATCCAGTGAAATAAATTTGGAAAGATAAAAAGGAAAGGGAAATGAAGAATTCAGAGGATTAGAATTTGGGAGAACACAGAGAGTGGATGCACCTGCGCCATTGCAAACGATTTTGAGCCATGTCATTCAGGGTCTCTAACCATCGGTTGCTATCATCTCGCGGTCTCCAACCAGGTAGTCTACACCTACCAATATGACTCAGTCTACTTGTCAGTGACTTCATAGACTTGTGCCATGTTTTGGTCTGGCCGCCCCTAACTTTCTTCCAACCTACTCCTATACCACTGAACATGATCAAAGTGATAAGAAGTCAACAATATGAAAATTAATCAATTAACAATGAATGCTACATATACAGAATGAATATACAGTTTAAAAATAATGGATAAAAGCAAAAACGAGAAATTATGTAGTGAGATAAAATATTAGTAGTTGGACGAGAATGAAAAGCATCTGCATCAGACCCACCATGTTCATCAATGATGCTGCCCAAATATGTAAAGGTTTTTACATCTTCTAAATCTTCTCCGTCAATTGTGACTGGATTGGTGCATGCTGTGTTGTATCGGAGAATCTTGCTTTTCCCTTTGTTTATATTGAGACCTACTGCTGTTGAGGCTGCTGCTAACCACACACAAATATAGTGATAATGAAAATGATGGTATTTACTGAAAACTCTATTCTCGCTTCGACTTACAGTCAAACAATTCACATTATTAATATTATTATTATTATTATTATTATTATTATTATTATTATTATTATTATTATTTACTACGTCATTTATTCACCCTCTTTATTCCCACTTTATGTATTCTTATTTTTCGACTTATACAGCAGCTCGCCTTTAGTGGAAACTCGGTTGTATCTAAACGTTCTCGAGTCACCGCCTGGTTGAAAATTGCATGCTACCACCAACTACGAATACTAAAGCAGTTGTTCTGAAACCAGGTACACTGTCCAAACTGGCTGCCTTCAGCGTTCGCACACTTATGCAGGTTGGACAACAGATAAAGATGGCTATGTCTTTGGAAAGTCTTAGTATCGACGTTTGTTGTCTATCCGAAACCCGTATTCAAGACTCTGGTGAAGTACTACAAATTCGCTCTCCATCTGTCACTTCAAAAAGCTTGTTTTACGTGTGTTTATCCGGGGATTTTGTGACATCTTCGTCTAGTCTTGCTGGCGTTGGTGTCGCACTAAGCGCTAGAGCTGAGGCAGCACTAGTCGATTGGATCCCCATTAACAGTCGGTTACGTGTTGTTAGATTAGAAAGTTCCATCAAAGTGAGAAGAAATCGCCGTGAGAAACGATATCTTTTCATCATCTCCGCCTATGCCCCGACAGATTGCAGCCCGGATGCAATCAAGGAAGAATTCTACCACCAGTCAACTGTTCTTCTTCGGAAAGTGCGTTCGACAGATATTTTAGTACTAGCTGGAGACTTGAATGCTCAGGTCGGGCGTCTAGGCACAGAAGAGTCGTTTAGGTGGTCGATGGGGACTTTCTGGTCGCAGGTCAGATAACGGAAACCGTCTACTGCAACTGTGCACAGACCACAACCTGTTTCTGGCTAGCACTAACTTTCGGCACAGTCATCGCCGATGTGCCACCTGGCGTCCTCCCTCTGCATCTCAAGTCAGTCAGTCAGTAACAACGTAGAACTTCGTACGTACGTACATCAGTTCGAGTTGCCACACCACATTAGCACAGAGATGCACTTGTCGATTCAAATCCCGTAGTGATAGAGGTAATAAGAGTATAAGTAGTAATCGAGAAGATTAGGGTTTGGAGATGTTATTTAAAGAGTATAATACAGTGAAAGAAATTTGGAAAGAGGAAAAAAGGGACATGAAGAATTCAGAAGATTAGAGTTTGGGAGAACACAGAGAGTGGATCCACCTGCGCCATTGCAAACGATTTTGAGCCATCTCATTCAGGGTCTCTAACCATCGGTTGCTATCATCTCGCGGTCCCCAACCAGGTAGTCTACACCTACCAACATGACTCAGTCCACTTGTCAGTGACTTCATGGATTTGTGCCATGTTTTGGTTTGGCCGCCCCTAGCTTTCTTCCAACCTACTCCTATACCACTGAACATAGCACGTCGAGGCAGTCGGTCGTAGGGCATACGTAACACGTGTCCCAGCCATCTCAACTGATGAAGTTTCACTACTTCATCAATTGATTTGCCATCCTTACCTAGTACCCGTTTCCTAACAACTGTGTTACTTACTCGATGGTCCCACGATATTCGAGCAATATTTCGAAGACACCTATGATCAAATACTAGTAACCTACGGATATCCTCTACTCTTACCGGCCATGTTTCACTGCCATAAAGTAGGACGGAACGAACTGCTGTGCAGTAAACACGTCCTTTGGTTGATAGACGGATATCTCGCCTACGCCAGAAATGACGCAAGTTGGCAAAAGCTAGTCGAGCCTTCTGTATCCGTGCTGAGATTTCGTCACACACCAAACCACAAGGGCTGATGAGACTTCCAAGATAAGTGAAGCGGTCGACACACTCAACTACTTCACTCCCTATCACTAGTTCGGGTGTCGATGTAACCCAATCCTGAAGCAACATTTTGCATTTCAAGGGAGAGAATCGCATCCCGAACATGCTTGCATTGTTGCTTAGAGTGGTCAGAAGACTCTGCATTTTGTCAGCATGGAACGATATCCGAAAAGCTGTGGAAACAGCAGTGATATCTGCTAGTAAGGTAAACCGTAAAGTTAGGGAGCAACACTGGATCTCAGCAGCATCTATCGCACTGATAGATGCCTGGACTCAGATTGATCACATCGCGATCAGCTACCGCTGGCGTGGTTGTGTACAAGACTGCCGCTCCGTTTGGAGTACCTATCTGGACTCTGACCATGCCTTGGTCCGCGCCAATCTTAACTAACTTTACAGTAGCTAACGAAGTGACCGCCACCAAAGGATTGATGTCAGCAAGTTGGTTGCAAATTCTGTTGCTAGTAAGTATCGAACGGAGCTAGTTTCTAGACTAGCTACCATTCCACCGAAAAGTATAGATGAGCATTGGTTGCAATTGCATGACGCCATGAAAATGGCGGGTACAGTCAGTTGTGGGTTCGCGAAACGTCCCGCTTATAAGCACTGGGTTTCTGCAGGTTCCTTACAACTCATTGAAGCCCGTCGGTCTACTCCGGGTGACCGTGAGTTTGACCACAAACGAAGGCTGTTACGTAAGGAAATTGGGCAAAGCTTGCGTAAGGACCGAGAAGCCTGGTGGTCGAAGCGTGCTAATGAGCTGGAAGCAGCAGCTGCATCTGATAATTACTGGAAGCTCTTCCAACTCATCCGAGCTACTGGCAGCAAGAAGTCTGATGTGAGCGAAACAATCTGCGAGGATGATGGAATGCCAATCACTAACATCCATCGACGCCTTGGACGATGGGCAGAATTTTTCGAAGGGCAGTTCAACTTTCCTGCTGCTCCGGCAACATCGGTCAAACTGTCCTGCCCTCCATGGCCGGTGATAACTGATCCACCAAATGAGGCGTAAGTCCGCAAGGAACTCCAACTCTTGAAACGCTACAAATCACCGGGCCCAGATGACTTCCCTCCGGCTCTTTTTAAAGATGGTGGTGACTTTTTGACTGAAAAATTGACGACGTTGTTTACAAAGGTCTGGGAGCTCGAGAGTGTACCAACGTCATGGAATGAGTAGAGAGTTGTCCCTATCTTTAAAAGGGGTTCATGTCGTTCCTGTAACAACTATCGGGGCATAAGTTTACTACCGATTGTGTCCAAACAATTGGCTTCCGTCATACTTCGTAGGTTGTTCAAAACCCGAGAAACATTGACTCGCGAGGAGAAGGCTAGGTTTCGTTCTGGTCGAGGATGTATTGATCATATCTTCACCCTCCGCCAAATGTTAGAACACCGCCATTCTTATCAAAGGCCAACGATCGTAGTGTTTCTTGACATCAGGGCTGCCTTCGATTCGTTGGACAGGACTGTTCTCTGGGATTGTCTATTGAAGAAGGGTGTGCCTGAGAAGTTTATTAACATCCTAAAGGCCCTATATACAAACACCTCGGATAAAGTGAGAGCATAAAACCACCTTTCTCCATTGTTCTATTCAAGAAGTGGGGTTAGACAGGGTTGCCCAATCTCACCATTTCTCTTTAGCTTTACCATCGATGACATTCTGGAAACAGCTCTGATGGATGTAAGTAATGGCGGAGTGGATCTGTCGCCTGGAGAAAGACTTCTCGACCTTGAGTATGCGGATCATATTGTCTTACTGTGCGATAATGCCCAAGCCATGCAATCCGCACTTAATCAGTTGGGAATCAGTGTCCGTAGGTATGGTATGTGCTTTGCACCTTTGAAGTGCAAAGTACTTCTACAAGAATGATAGGATCCTAATCCTGTACTCACCCTGGACGGCGAGCAGATAGAAATAGTCGAGAAGTTCGTGTATCTAAGTAGCTGCATAAGTGCTGGTGGGGGTGTGAGTGATGAAATCAATGCATGTATAGTGAAAGCCATAGCGGCTTATGCCAATCTGGGCCACCTTTGGTGCCTTCGTGATGTTAGTCTGGCTGTAAAAGGTCGGATCTACAACGCGTCGGTAAGAGCAGTTTTGCTCTATGATTGTGAAACCTGGTCTCTTCGAGTTGAGGATGTTAGACGACTCTCTGTGTTCGATCATCGCTGTCTCCGAAGGATTGCTGACATTCAGTGGCAACACCATGTCAGTAATGCAGAGGTTCGGCATCGTGTGTTCGGGCAGAGAGATGATAATCCAATTGGTTTCACCATCTTGAAACATCGACTTCGGTGGCTTGGACATGTTCTCCGAATGTCGTCCCAGAGAATTCCACGTCACGCATTATTTGCCGACGCTGGGACTGGTTGGAAAAAGCTGAGAGGTGGTCAGTATATGACATGGTGTCGTGGTACGGAAGAAAGCTGCAAAGGACTGGCTTCTGTTGGTCTTTCATGACTCCCTGGTTGGGGTCCGAGAGATGGTGCTACACAGTGGCTAGAGACATTACCAGATATGGCTCAGAATATAAGCCAGTGGCAATCCTGCTGTATCCTTTTTTTACGTTCATAAAAAGTGGTTGTAACTTCCTTAACTGAAAGATTTCTTCTGGTTCTATCTTTCCGTTTCCCTCATTATTATTATTATTATTATTATTATTATTATTATTATTATTACACTACCTTACACTAAGTTGGTCGTTATTGTTCTTTTTTTTCTCCTACGCTACTTACCTTCTTTTTTTCTTCCCATTCTCATTGTTTTGCGTGGCACATATATATTTGGTGCCCTCTTGTACCAATATTTATGTGTTCAAATAAATAAATAAATAATGCTCAATAATTTTATGAACTTGTGCTGTCTTCATCTGGTATCAAGTAAACTTAACTAGTAATCCTAATATTTCTTTTTTTATGTCATTAGCATGATATTATGGGAGTGAAATCGTACAGCTTTCACACGATTGTTATACAGTACTTTATTCATCAAAAACGTGTTGTTGATGATTCTGCCCAAATGATGATTCTAAAGTGCTTATCTAACAAACAGACTACAAGAAACTGTTTACGTGCATCCAAAACTGTTACGTAAAGTTATTAGAATATGGTAATAATGATGAATTACATTAAAAATCTAATTTTAATTCATCGTAAATTTTAAAGTGAAAATAGAACTCACCATATTTCCGGAGCTTCCCCTTTAAAAAGAACTTCCTTTAAAATGACCAAAGCAGTATTTGCAAGTTTTTCAATTTGACTTGTATACCTAAGTAATTTGTTATCTAAATCACTAGTATTACTACAATTTCCATCATCATTATTCATGATACTTCGATTTCCATAACCAATGAATTGTAAAAGATTAGACGGAAGTGTACGTGATATCCCACCAATGTATCCTGGATCATTGGTTGTACGTGCATAAAGAATTAATCGAGTAGGATAACGTTGATGTTGATGATAATCAACATCTAATCTTTCAAATATTTCTTCAGCTAAGCACAATAACCATCGTTTAATTTGTTCACTTGATGTAAGTGTTGCACGTCCAAGGAAATTTTTACTACAACCAACAGACTTTGGAAGTGATCGAGTAGTAACTACTTCATGATCAATCCCATGAGATAAGTCATGAAGCCATTTTCTACGAAATGAAAAATTAATATCATAAATGAAACTAAAATCAACGAATTGCTTAGTTATGTGCCATGATACGAGAATTATTTCTTCTAAATGTTCAATAAAGTATTATAAGCAGAGATGCATGGAGGCTAGCAGTGGAAACCAGGACACACGTTTTGTTCTATTTGGAACTCATCGGCTAGATGTACTAGTATCCCAGAGTTGATGCTCACTGCGGGACTCGAACCAAGTACAGTCCGTTTCAAACACGATCATGTTATACACTTAGCTACTGAATACAGATAGCCACTAGTTGTGCAGTAGGGTGAAGTTCAATTTACTGGTTGTTTGAATCGTGCCATCGATATCTGGAGACTGATGAATTGAGGTTCTAAACACCGATGGGAAGATACAAACAACCAATCCAAATGAGTTTACTAAAGTAAAATTACAACCTCATCAAATAATATCTGTTAAAGTGCGATATAATAACTAAGCAAGAAAACGAAATAGTATATTGTAATGTGATGATTTTTCCTAAACACTAATATTCACACCAGACGTTTTAACCCACTTTATTATGGTTAATTTTGTCTCCTTACCATTCTCATTATTTTACCTTTATCATCTATGTTATTGACTGAAATAGAGTTAATTCTAGAATAATTCCCATGATTTACGTAGCATAGCGTGTTAGTACCATTGAGACAACGTTTCAATGTTACCACACAATTTGCTATATGCTTGTAAATTATTTCTTATAGAATTGTTTAAAGGACCCACCAATTAGTTGACTATGAAGTGTTAGTAACGTACTGGATAACTCAGGATTAGAAATTTTTAAACTTAGTTATCTATAATTTATTCAGAAAGATTTAGGAGGAAGAACAAGTTCCGATGGATTAGAAAGGACACCTCATCAATATATCAAAGAAAGATCGCAGCAAGTGTGAGAACTATAGAGGCATTACACAAATATTAGTGCCGTGGAAAGTTTTCAAAAGTGTTGCCAAACAGGATGAAAGATTTAGTAGACACCCAACTCACAGATCAACAGGTTGAATTCCGTAAAAATCAGTCGTGTATAGCGACGCTACGCATCATCAATGAACAATCAATTGAGTGGAACTCGTCATTATACATCAACTTCCTTGAATATGAGAAAGCATTTGAAAGTGTGCATAGGAGAATATTATGGAACGTTCCTCAATATTATGGTGTACCTGAGAAAATAGTCAACATCAGCCGGAATTCATACGACGGGCTACACTGCAAAGTCGTGCATAGAGGACAGCTGACAGACACATTTCAAGTGACGACAGGAGTCAGACAAAGCTGTCTACTCTCCATCCTTCCCCTTTATTCTGGTGGTTGACTGGATTATGAAGATCTTCACGTCTCAGGGGGAAGCATGGAATACAATAGACATGTTGGATGCAATTAGACAATTTGAAATTCATAGATGATTTAGTTCTTCTATCCCACACACACACACACACCAACAAATGCAGGTCAAGACAACCACTGTAGCAGCAGCAGCCTCTGCATCAGTAGGCCTCAACATACACAAGGGAAAAAGCAATATCCTCAAATACAACACAAAGAACACCAATTCAATCACACTTGACGATTAAGCTCTGGATTAGGTGAAAACGTCTAAGTCTCTTGTCAGCATCATCGATAAACAAGGAGGATCTGATGCAGACATGGAGTCAAGGATTGCAAAGCAAGGGCGAAATTCTTATAAATGAAGAACATGTGGAACTCAAAACAATTATCGGTCAACGTCAAAGTCAGAAACTTCAATGAGAACGTCATAAGCAACTATCTATGCAAGATACTTAATATCCGTTGATCGGATATCATCAGCTATGAGTGACAATTGTCCCACATTGCGTTCAAGCAAATAAACTAACTATCGATAGCATTAATGGCTTATATACACACTGTATAATAAAGAGAAAAGTTGCAGTTTTTATATTTTTCACTAGTCATCAGGATAATGATAGAACATGAACAAGTTGTAAGAATATGATCCAAATATATATTCTTTTAACTCCAATTTTATGGTACTGCTAAGTTACGTTTTATTTTATTAAAACACTCAACACATTCATAAATGATCATACGGCTAACTGTTAGCTCTACCTTTTGATTTAAGACAGTGAGTTGATAAATCTTTAAAAAAAAATTTTAATAAATAAACATAATTCTGAAATTTAGTCGAAAAAAACATGCGAACATTTAATGAAGTAGTCTAACAAAACTTACGATGTTTTTTCACCAAATTCTTTTGTGAGTACAGACAATGGAATTGAACTTAGCTGACCAAGTGTTTCAATCTTCAATTGTTTAACAACAGCACTTCCAAGTTTACCACCTAAATTACGTCTTCAGAAAAAAATCAAATATGATACTAATCAACTAATAAATTTTTTTAAAATCACTTAGTATCACATAAGTGATTAAATTATATAATATCAGAGTAAATTAACTTGAAAACAGTTTTTGACTGAAAATAGATATCAACTACAAGAGCCTGAAATAAAATACAATACCGAACAAGTGTTTTGTTCACCTAACATATCTTAACTTACTAATATTTTAATGGTAATTTGCTAAGAATTAATTCATGAGAAATTATGAATGTTTAAAACTACGCATTTCACCTAAAACACTGTTACACTTTTTTTTCAGTTAGATACATATATCAAATGAGAATATTAATATGGGATACTCATGTAAGATTTGATGAACACTAAGATATCAGTAGTAATATGAGGAAATAAAATTTTAATCGACATACTTTGATTATTCCAGCCAGAAAGTACTGTTATAGGGAAATCTTGAACAAACTAATAAAAACAATCACCTAGCATTTCTATATTAACTGATAAGAAATTCATGTCAACAAATAGTCCATGAAGACACTTCAGCTCTACTTTTATATACATCATAGACAAAATAAACTGTTGGTTATGTATGATCCCGATTTCAAATAAGCTGATAGCTATCCAAAAAATTGATAATTATACACTAACAGCTTGAAGATTGAATCATATTAATGAAAATACTTATAAACTAGAATATCAAGAAAATGAAGTATCAGTTCAGCAATTTAAACACTGTGTTTAACCAATGGATGATGTTAACCACAGCCCTTTCACTGTAAAATAAGCGTTGTATTCACCGCATTCGACCATTTCCCCGTTCATTTAGTAATTCATCGCTCGTTATTTAAGAGTAATTTTCAAAGATTTCATTTGAAGCCCTGATTTCCACTATATGAGTTTTTCATTAAGTATATTGAGTTAAGATATGATATAGTGGGCAGGGATTTAAATGACTGAAGTGAGAGTAACATAAAATCGATTTTTCAAATGTCTGTGACACGTCATGTACACAACTTAGAACATTATTCATATCTCCTGGTTGTATAATATCGTGGATTTACGTTCACATTAAGTTACTAGTTAATTGATGTTACATACTGCATAATCATATGAAAATTCGAATTTTCCGATCTTATTCGATTTATTTTTGGTGTCAAATAAATCCTTATCAACCATCATCTCCGTGTTCTTTTTCATATCGTCCGATTCGCAGTTTCCCTGTTGCGGTAGTAGGATTTACTTTGGTGGAGTTTTGTTTTCTGAGCTGGATGGTTTGGTCGTGGAGCTTTCATCGTTCTTCTGAACGACATCATCAGCACAAACTTCAAATAGGAGTGAAGTGTTTGAATTTCTCCATATGTGTTTCAAAGCTTGTTCTGTGCACCTCGATGTTGATTGGTTCTTAGATATAACATGCCATACTAGTAGTTCATAGTTGATAGTTGCGGATATCTTTAAAAGCTTCAAAATTACACTTCAAAATGCAGCATTCACCCGCTAAGTGAACAGAAAAATGACTAAAAGTGCTGGATATAACATACTTTTATTTAACACTGAAAACGTTACTGCTAATCTCAATCTAACGATCTTGTCTCAAAATACAAACAACACTCCATCTATTTTGGTTTCATCATTCAATCAGTATCAATGGTCATCACATTAACAGTATAACGACTTATAACTGATAAAAGGAACTTGTACTTGACAACTGAATTCAATAATATTAACTAATTATTTGTGTTTTATTTCATTAGATAATATAGTAATAAATAATTTACTCAAAATAATCAGTAAACACATATCACTTACATTTTACTTATATGAGTATTTTCCAATAAAATGGGAATTGATTCATGCGGAATAATTGTTTGTTTATTTGGTTTATTTAGACTGCATGCCAATTTAGCGATAGACTTTACCAAACGTGAAAAAGGAAAGCAATAGTAATAAAGGAATCTAAGTCTGACTGTTAACGAATAGATAGAACTGAGGTTGAGAGGAATTATATTTACTCTCTCTCTCTCTCTTTCGGTATGGGTATACAAATCAAACTAATACAATGTTTCATTAAAATCATGAACTGACTACCAATAATCTAAATCGAAAACCTGAAAGCAGTACAATACTTAGTTAAATTCTACATTAATAACTTCAACCATGATTGTCGCTGATGAATTTTCGCAAGTCCAATAACGAAAAGTATAGACACTTACTGCATGAATACTACTAAATTTGTTTACTTTCATATTCTCAATGAAAATATTATATTTGTTAAATACACAATGACAAAATTTTACATTGGAACTGTGAATTCTAAATTTAGTAATGGAGAAACATATTATTCAGGTGGTTTAGAAACAACCCAAAGATTTCATTTTATCTCTTCAAATATGGAACGGGAATACTGCCATTAAAGTGATCAATTTCATTAAATCGATTAAAACATCTGTCACATTGCCAAGTTATTATACTGAGTACTAAATAACAGCATCTCAGGTCGATGAAGATTCACTACCTCATCAACAGATTTTCCACCTTTACTAAGTACCCTATTCCTAACCAGTCAGCCAATCAGCTCCAAAGTAGGACCAGGCACATATATGCATCGGTCCAAGTTGCCATACCCCATTCTATTCTTAACCACAACGTTGCCCAATCGGTCATCCCAAGAAACGAGAGAAATTCTGTGAAGATACCTATGGTCAAAAACCTTAAACCTATCGTGTCTCCTACTTTAATAGATCATCTCTCCGCCAAAAAATATAACAGGACAGCTGCACAGTACATATGTCTTTTGGGTTGGCAGACGGTCATCTCGCTTATGCTAAAAGTGATGCAAGCTGGCTAACGGCAATCGTAGTTTCTGAGTCCGTGTCGAAATTTCGTCAAACACCGACCCACCAGAGCAGATGAGATCTTCAAGATAAGTGGAGCGGTTGGCATATCTAACTAGTCCACTCCCGATCACTAGTTTAGATGTTGACGCATACCAGTCCGGAAGTAACATTTTCGTATTTGACAGAAGAGAAACATATTTCTAAGCAATGAGATCGCAATAACGACCGCTTTGCCAAACAACCAGATTAAAAGACGACAACGGAGTTCGATAATTAAAAATCGGAATTTTAGCCGCACTGCAAATTGATCAGTAGAATTCGATCAACAATAGGGAATAGATAAGCACGAAGTAGGTCGTTAACAAACGGTTAATTACAGTAAACACCTAAGGTCAGTAGGTTAGCTGAGGTTCTCTAAAGGTTATAAGCACGCCTTTCTAAAGTACCAGCTAGTGTCAAGGAGTCACTACTGACTGCTTCTAGCTGCTTTAAATTATAATTATAACTAGGAATGAACGGTCAAGGTAGTGCTGTGATAAACGAAAACTCAGATACAGTAAAGAAAACCAATTGATCGTTTTATGCGAAATTACACAATAAATAAATAAAATAAGAAAATCATACATTAAATGCATTATTTGCACATCTTCCAGTTTTGTCGTTACTCCAATTACTCTTTGTTTTCCTTCTTGTTCTCCTTAACTCAATTTTATGCTGGCAGACATTCCGCCTCCTATTGTTGCCACATGTACGAGTAGCATATGCCACAGCGCTACTGAATAGCCAAGTACAAGGTGGATTTATAAACGGCGATTTGCCTTAATTGTGCAAACACCACCGAAAGCAAAGTAGATATAGCAGAGTTTGAACTGACAGCCTAATGACTGGCAAAAGCAAATACAGCAGTTTACAATAAGTTACGTTGAAGGAGCACTGCTTTGATTTAATCCTAACATACATCATATTATTTCGAACAACAAAAAACTCAAAGATGGGTACGAAAACACAGCTCAGTAAATACTATGAATTTCAAATTGTTTACTATCTACAATAAACGAGGTAGAGCACAGAAACAGCTTACTTTATTTGGACCAATCCCAGCGGAACATCTAAATCCTGTTTTTGTAAATACAGCCTGTCTAATGCGGTATACCAATTCAGAAGCTACAGCTAATCGCCTTCCTTCTGCAAAATTAGAGTCTAGCAACTGGATCCAATCAACACCGTTGAGAGAAACACAGTTGGTTTTGGTAAGTTCTAACTTTGACTCCTCAGCAATATCGCTACTAACTAACACGTAAGACTCTGGATTGGGCTGCAGTGATGACAAATTGTCATCCTGGACCAAAACTGAATCTACGATACCTATTAGAAGGCTTATAAGTATCAAAATACCAGCTTACCAGTTAAGTCAACGTAGGCCTCATCAATACTAGCCCTCTCAATATCGCTAGTAAATTCGGATATACACTGAATCACTTCAGAACTCGCATCCCGATATCTGCAGAAAACAATCAACCTCAAAATAGAATTTAAGTTACTGACCTTGTAAGTTCTGCTTTACCTCGTTTCTCAGGAACTTTGAAAATAATCACTTCTGGATGCTGAACTCGAATTTCATCACTAAACATCCCACGCTTGATACCTAGAGCCCTGGCTTCGTAACTTATGGCTAAAGCTCTAAAGATAAAAAATCATCAAAATAATGAACCAACCCTCCACCTTTCCACTCACTATACTGTGAAACAACACATGGCTTCCCTTTAGTTTCAGGAAATTCCCGTTGTTCAACTTGAACATAGAAACAGTCCATATCAAGTAGCATCACGACTCTGTTCATTCCTAAGTTTCATAAGTCCTCTCTAAAAAGAATAGTACGGATGAACAATGGGAATACAGTGCAAAAATAAATGTGTTGAATGAATCAACGTTACTGATGGTGACTACTTATTTTAGATTCCAGATAAAAACCTGAAGTAATCACAACGTAACCTTTCTAGCTAACCCACAGGTACTAACCATAACTTCACTGAAAATACAAATTTGAAAAGAAACTTTACAACAGCTACTATCGCCTATACAATTTAGTTATACAAACACAATATGACATCCACCTTAATCATAAACGACTTTGGTTTCTGAATTTATCCGAATTATTAGTCACACTCACTTTGACAACTAATGATACTACCCGGGATTTATAGTCGAAGTAAACATGACACGTTTTAATACACTTAAGTGCTAAGGTGTAAAGCATTCACATGGCTGAATAACTGACCTACCAGAATTTGTACCGATTTTTTATTTCGAGTAGTTATATAGTTTGGACAAACATCAGTTTTTTCTGAACTTCTATTTCATTTCATTTCTCTTATCGATTTCAATTGAGTAACAGAGTGAACTGAATAGCCACTTGTTTAGTTAGTAGTAGGATAGTAAGATCAACTGGATTCAAACAATAAGACTGAAGAAAAATAGTGCTATGATATTCCAAGTGCTTGACCACTGAGTAGTGAACAACGACATGTTTGTTTTATTCTTTATTGCTGATTGAATTCTATAGATCAAGATAAGTGACCACTAGTCTGTGACTCGAAAACATGTGCACTATGTTGCGATTTCAGGTGACAAGGAACCCTTGACTTAGGTTTCGTGCTAGTCGCAAGTATAACGTGTTAATTAATGCCGACTAGCAGGAAACCTGAGGCAAGGCAGGCTACCCCAACCACCTTATATTTCAGTTGTTTTATCAGTAGGCGGGAAGACAGTGGGTAACATTTATCCAAACAAGGAGCTAATAACCTGAGTAGTTAATTTAAATTTTTGATAAATTATAGCCGCTAACATGTTTTAGTTCGAAAAGAAGTTGAGTGCATATTAAGATAAAATCGTTTTTAGACTGTTATCGGCCTTCTATAAAAATGACAGATTAACATTACCTCCAATAAGAACACTGAACTGTGAAAACATGGTAAACACATCCCGAAATTTTAAGTCTCGCCGAGCAGTAGTATGTACAATGCGCTTTATGTAGACTACACTATGCTTGTAGTTCATAAAGGACAAAGTGTTCCCAGAAAAATTAATTCACAGAAATTAAGAACGAAAAAGATCCAAACCAGGAATTCCACATGTTACATAATACATGTCAACTAAGGTTGAATAAAATCGTTTACTAATATCAACAATCACGCTTACCTTGGTTGCCGTAATCAGGTTTCCCGTAGGTACGTTCTTAATATTTAAAATAAAATGTTCGATTGGTTTTCACAATTCTACAATTATTGTACAGGCCGTAAAACAATCCGGTGTCCATTAGAAATAATGTCCATTTCAGAAGACTGGTAAAATATAAAAAAGCAGACATGATAACCATACGAATTTAACCACTGATAAATCCTAAGTAGCGACTTCACTTATTAAATCGCATGTTTTACCATTTGTGTACAACTAAAGTGTAACAATGAATAGATAAATTGAAATTAAGGTGTCAAACGTTAAAGAGGGTGTCTTTAGAAATCCCCAAACGACGTAGCCAGAACAATGAGTAAATTAATATAATGAGTAGTCCAAGTAGATCTAGGCTACACTTAAGTTACCCACTACTCAGTAGCAGCCTGATTTGAGTCGACATCTGAACTTCAAATTTCATTAAAACAGTAAAAGATATGGCTAACCTAAAGCTGTTCCTAATCAGATATTTTCAACGTTCATCAAGGACGGTTGTATAAGTTTAACGATAAGACTGACTACGATACTGGCTAGTCTGGAAGCCCGAGGTAACTCTAGCAGCCTGATTGCGACCACCATTCGCATCAGTTTATACGAAAACACAGAAATCATTATAATGACTACAGAAGTATCAATTTAATATGGAGTCAAAAACAGAGAGATTATAATTTATGGACGGGTCAATCAGATATAACAAGACGGTTTTTGGATTTTGGCTCAGAATTCACTCATCTGTTTGACTAAATAGCGTTTTGGCATTTTAGCTTATGTCAGTTCAGATTGGTTTATAATCGTGATTAATTCCTAATTAGTAAATGAACATTCTCAGGGTCAGTTTGGCGTCGCTCAAAGGTCGTCTCACCATTTTAGACCCAAAAGTGGACGCATAGATCAGGTATGTACCTTTCTTTGGACTGTTGAATGTAGATATAACTTCCAACGCTAAATTATAGCTATCTTTTGTAACCTTGAAGCTGCATTCAACCTTGGTGATCTACAGGATTTCAGAAACACGTCATTGGAAAAAATTGCAAACTTTGACGAGACTATAATTTATGGACGAACTAATCAGGTACAAAATAACAGGTCTCGGATTTTGACGCGAAATTCACTCATCTATTTGGCTAAATAGAGTTTTGGCATTATAGTTTATGTCAGTTCGTGATGTGAACATAAACCAACTGTAAACCATAATTTCAATTCCTCATACTGTTTTGTAACCCTTATTTGGTCCTAGTTATAAGGTGGACACTCTCGAGGTGACTTTAACGTCGCTCAAAGGTCGTCCAACAATTAGAGTCTCACCCGAACTTCACGAACATCACAACGAGTTGACAGAACGAGCACGCCCCTTACTTTTCTGGTTGAAGTGATCTGATATTAGCATCTCACATCGCAAAAGGTAATTCAGAGAACGATTTTGTAGCTGGTCGATCTGTCTACAAATTATAGTTTCACCAATCCGAATTCTCATGCCATTGTTGTTTGGAAGGTACAAAACGACACTGAAGCTCGAACTGACAGAAGCGATTTACTTTAGGGGAGATTTATTGAGCTTTTCATCACAAGACTAAACGCGCGGAATTAGCCTCACGGTCCTAAAGGTCGACAACAATTATGGGTCCTCTTACACCACTCCCTGTGATTCCAGGGTTTATTTCTATACCATACGCATAATTAGTTTTCTCGTGTTTCTAGATGAACCCCTACTGTTGTGAACATATGTTTAGCATATGGTCATGCTATTGTTTGAACACAGCATGCTGTGTCTTAACAGATCGTAGTAGAGTAAATGTCGAAAAGATTAACCTGATAAGCGTCAGTTTGCAGACCTAAACGCCGAAGATTTATAAAGACCTATAATGACACTAACTGATGTGATGAATCGAGAAGTATAACTGCATTCATGAGAAACTACCTTGGCAACAATGGATGGGATTTTGAAAAGACTGTCAAGGACGAAAATCAAAATCACCAGGATATCAATTTTCAATACCGTCGAATAAATCTACTAACTTCATTGCTCTAGTTTTTGTTATACAGCTCCAAATCTTTGATTATTTCCAAAAAACCGTGGTCCAGCGACTCAATCTAACCAGCTCTAAGTTGGTAGTTCTTTGCGTATTTGAGAGTCTTGTGGTCTCAGTAATTGCCTAGTTTCAGGATAGTAATGTTTCTGAATCCAGCCGCTGTCACATTACCAAGCAAGGAGTTGGATCTTGCAGTATAACGAATAATAGAAGAATATAATCCAGAATAGCCGGGAGTAGACAATTCTTTAAACACGTAAATGAATCAATCAAAAACCAAAACAACATAAATAGAGAGAAGTGTAAGTATCGCGGGTAAACGTTGAGGATAATCAAATAAGTAAAGAATATCTAGTAACATGTGGTCACTTGAGTAGAGCTAACATTCCGGATGAGAACAAGAAAGAAAGTACCTGTACATATGGTCTTCCATATGCAATTTCTCAGAGGTCACCTCACAGAATGAACACTAAAAACGGCCGAATTATTGATAAACTTACGGTGTGCTTCACAATTCTCACTTACATATTTATGAAGATATGATCAACTATTTAATGAAATGTGGTTTGTAGGGATGCGACGGGGCATAATCTAACGTGCTACTACATTGAGTGACTGTTAACTGTATGCGAAACTAACTTACTTACGCCTGTTACCCCTCATGGAGGTCAACCACCAGCATTCTCCGTCTAATACTGTCCTAGGCAATCCCTTCCAGTACTTTCCAGTCGCTTTTCATCCTTCTCATGTCTGCTTCTAACTCTCGACACAGTGTGCTCTTTGATCCTTCTCTTTTCCATTTCTCTTCAGGACTACAAGTTAGCGCTTACTTCGTGGTGCAGTTCGGTGATTTCCTCAGTGTGTGTCCTATCCAGTTCTAATATCTTTTCTTCATTTCTTCTTCAGATGGAAGTTCATTTGTCCTCTCCCACAGTAAGTTGTCGCTAATGGTAGTCGGCCACGAACATGGAGTATCTTGTGTAGACAAATATTTAGGAATAATAATACTCTCTTGATGATGGTTATGGTAGTTCTCCACACTTTAGCTCCATACAGTAGAACTGTCTTGACGTTTGCATTGAAGATTCTGACTTTCATGTTGGTTGACAGCTGTTTTGCGTTCCATATGTTCTTCAGCTGTAGGAATGCTGTTGCTGCTTTGTCAATCCTCGCCTTTACGTCTGCATCAGATCCACCACGTTCACAGATTATGCTTCCCAGTCATGTGAAAGTTTCCAGCTCTTCTAGAGTTTCTCCATCACGTTTGTGTATGCTAAAGCATTGACCAAACTGCGTCGAGGTGAACACTGACCAACATTTATCGATGATTCAGTAGATCACCAACGTATTTGGTCTGTGTCGAATGATTAGGAGCCTATCCGATGTGGATGGGAAAGTGTGACCAACAAGCTAATGTCGAAATCTCATCAGTTAGTACCTAAAATGAGTTGCTCTTTTTTCGTATTCAGGTACTGTAGCTACTTTGACAACTATGCAACACAAACGACGTTATTACAGAAATATAATTGATAGATGTAGATGCAAGACGTAA